TGCTGACCCCTGGTCAGGCACACAGAGTCAGACTGACTGTGCTGGTTGTGAGAGAGCCCTGGAGCATGTAAGCTTGGACTGCAGCTCTTGGAGGATCTGAGCTGCATGGGGACTGGATCAGTTCAAGAGGTGTACACGCAGCGGGGGCATTAGGGTGGGGAGGTCATTAGGTAAGATGCTCTCCCAGCCCCGAGCAGTGGCCTCTGTCCATGCATCACTCACCTTGGAGAACAGCCTGAGGGGTGTCTTCTTATGGGAAAAAAAAACCTGCTGTTGTTGAACACTGTTGGCTCTTCCCTCCCCTACTTAGGTGATCATATTTCTGAAGAAGAATGTTATCCTGACTGGAGGGTTTGCTGGCGGATTCCTGCTCGGAATGGCGTCCTAGAAACTGTGCTTAACTCTCCCAGCCTCCCCTGTCCTCCGCTACTTTCACTTAGAAGTCAAAGGATGTTGCTGACAGACTCAGTCCCTTCTGCCTACAGGTTCCAGCCTTTATTTCTTACAGTGCTGCTTCTGATTTCCAACTTTTTCCTCTTGTCTGGGCTGTTAGGGTGCTGGGATCAGTCTGAAAGCTTATGAATCCCAGTGTATCATGACTACTTTCCCCACTCACCAAATATGCCCAGTCCCAAATTTTCTGATGAGTTGCAGCCTCATAAACATGTAGTAGCAGAGGCATCTCTTAAATGCGCTTCTTCCCAGGTGCTCAGGGCTATTACATGTACATTTGTCTGCCAGCATATTTGTACAACAGCTGTCAGCTGTTCACTGCTGTTTAGCTTGCACTTTTTCTGCTCCGGCACCTGGAAAGCTTGTGCTTCCTTCTGCACAGAGGTGATGTGTGTAATCCAAAATGTACTTGGCTCTTGCAGGATGGATGCAGGAGTGTCAGGGGACAGCCTGGGCTGTGTCCAGGGTGGGTGCATAAGGAACAAGTTCATGCTGTGTGTGGTGCTGGGGGTTCTGCCCTCCCCTGCCGTTGCACTGCATGTAGATGGCCATTTGGCTTCTCCTCTGCTGTTATTTATACCCTGTACTGGAATTGCAGCACTGGCACTGCTGATGGAAACTGAGCACTGTGGGTGACTCTCCAGACCCTTTCCTCATCATGTGTTCTGAAAGTTGCCAAGCTTCCTGTGCTGTTTCTCTCGCTTGCTGGCTGCCTGCTCAGCATTTGAAATGTGCTGAGGAACTCTCTTGTGGTGGGCAGGCTTCCAGTGTGCTTGACCTGTCAGCATCAGGCTAGCTGGTGCAGGCAGTGTGCACTTACTGTAAATCACCTTGGGCCTCAAACTAGTGTTTCTAGGTCTTCCATGACCTTGTCTGGCCACATTGGGGTTGGTGATGCTCTTAGAGCTCCAACCATGTGGGACGGGATTGTAGTCAGGAAATACATCCTTCTGTAGGGTACATTGTACTGGTCCAGGATCCCTGTTGCCAGCTCTACTGGAGTGGTGGTGGGGTAGGACGTGAAACCTGGAGCACAATCCTTTACCTGCCTCTGCAAAGCACAAACTCCGTCTCCCTGATCTCTGCAAGCAGCTGAAATGACAAAACTGTTGGGAAAACCAGGTTGTGCTCTTGTGGGAGTGGCTCATTTCCGTACTTTCTGCCTTGGTTATGTTCCTTCGTTCTTTGTGTTTACCATTTCCATAAAAAAAGCTGCTTGCTTAATTCCAGCAGCTGCAGCCCTTCTGCAGGTGATGAGGCAGCCCCGACGCAGAGCTCAGCTGTTTTTTGACAGTCTGTCCCCATGCTACTGTGTGCAGAGCAGAACTCTAACCTACAAGAGTAACCAAAAAAAAAAAATCCCTTAGAGGTGTTCTGCATTGGCTGTGGTAGGCTGGCATTCGTGCTTTCCAGAGTGTGGAGGCTTGCCTGACAGTGGGTTATGACCTCTAGCATGTACATGTAGGACTTCTTGCCAAGAATGGTTTTTTTATCTGAAAGTCAGCCCATCCTTCAATGGGAAACCTGCCAGGGAATGATGATGCGCCTGGGTGATCAGGACCTGGCTCAGTGGCTGCACTCCGTCTCCAGTGCTGTGTAATGCCTTCTGATCATCTGCTCCTGCTCTCAGTATGGTTGGCAATGGGGATCTTCCCCCAAGAGATGCTGGAATAGTGGGTTCCTCTACCAGAGGTTTTGGGATGAGCAGCACTTGCAGTTGTTTATTTTGTTTCAGTTCTGTTGATTGAAGTGTCAGTGTAGCAACACATTGATTTAGCTGAGGTTTTCTCACCTTCAGGGTCTGAAAAGAAGCTGCAGGTAATCAGGAAACAGAAGGTGGTATCTTTGCTTCTGCCCTGCCATACATGGCCGAGCAGAATGAAGGAGCAGCTGGGCTCATGTCCTTTTAATGATGGTCTTCCTAGAAGCCATCCAGGACCACAGGAGCAATGTGATGCTGCAAACAGGTCTTCAGTAAATTGGTTTTTGGGAGTGGAGTGACAGAAGATAGTGGTGCTTTTGGTTTTTTGGGTTTTTTTGGTTTGTTTTTTTTTGTTGTTTGTTTGTTTGGTGTTTTTTTTTTTTTTTTTTTGTGTTTTTTTGGTTTTTTTTTTTTTTTTTTTTTTTTTGTAGGAACCCTGCAGAGCTGAACCTGCATGAATTGATATATTTGTATGGCAGGGTGTCTCTTGTTCCTGTAGGAAAACATAATTGTTGCCCCTCTGCCTCGTGTGCTGCGTAACACAACTTCTGAGATGCACTAATCTCCACAAAGCTTTCTCCAACGACAAAGCTCAAAGTAAATCATTAACAGACCTTAGGGGTGTTTTTCAGGCTTAAATAAGTCCCTGTTTGTGCCCAGCTCCAGGGAAGGGTGTGCTGGGTTGTGCTCCACAGGGTCCTGACTTGCTGCTATGGAGACAAATGGCCCGGAGAGGGAGCTAAAACACCTCAGCTGCTGCTGGAAGGAGAAACATTCATGTTGAATTTGATGTGAATGCAGGCAGGGAACGGACAAGGACATCAGAATCTGGCAAATCTTTCTGCTGTGCCAGGCTTGTGACTGTCGCTATTTGATGTTGGCCCACACTGAAGGTGTTGGTGCTGTTACCAGCCTCTGTGGGGATGCATTTTCCTTGTTGCAGGTGCAAAATAAGCTGTTTCCCCCATCCCTGCCCCTGCTCCTTTTGGTATTGTTTCAGGAACTTCTGGGGTCTGTTACAGTAGGAGACAGTTTAAGACACACTAGGCTTTTAAACTGGTTTTATATATTGTATGTAAATGCTTGTTGAAGTGATATTTTATTAAACAGTTTTGCTCTAATAGCTTTTATGTGTGAGGTCTGTTGACTTCTTGGGAACCGGTGTGGATTTGTCTTACCCTGTGTGTTGTGTTTGACTCACAGCAGCAGTTACAGCCAGTGCGGTCGCATGAGGCCACCAGTGTTTTTCTCTTCTTCTCTGCAAGTAACCATGGGCTGCCTTAGTAAATCCATCTCCTTGATGATCCTGGCAACAATCCCCCATGTTCCCAAAAGGTGGAATGCTTCTGGGGCAGGAGGTGATTCTGCTGCAAGCCTGACTTCAGAGCCTCCCTGCTAAGCAAGTTTGCTCCACCCAAGCAGAAATGGACATGGAGACAAAGTTTTTTCTTTTTAGTAGGCGCAACAGATGCCTAAATGTGGTTTTTTTATCACCTATCAGTGACTTTCTTTACAGTGTTCCTGTTCAGATAGGGAAAAGGGTAAAAATGGGCTACTTGTCAAGTGTTTGAGCTGCTTCACAACACTGTCATCACTCTTCTCTACTTTTCAAGACTACTAAACCCCTATTTTGTCTTAAGGCTTTTTTTTGGGG